TATATACAATATATATACAATACATAATTGTATATAAACATGCATATATATTATGTTTATCAGTAATACATAAACCTATATTATATACTTGTTTGTACAAAATCACGCATCATATACTATTACATGTTATATCAATATTTTGTGTGAATGTTTATCAGTATATCCATAATAATATCAATATATTTTGTGTGTATGTGGTGTGTGTGCGTGTGTTTGTGTGTGTGTGTGTGTATGTGCGTGTGTGCGTATGTATGTATGGTGTGTGTGTGTGTGTGTGTGTGTGTGTGTGTGTGTGAGAGAGAGAGAGAGAGAGAGTATGTGTGTGTGTGTGTGTTTAGTGAGCGCATAAATGTGTTCATACATTTAAGGGAACAATTTTTTAAATTATATTTCTTGTTAAATACTGAAACAAGATTTTTTTTCTCTCGTATTGAACTCGCGCAGGGGGCTTTCGTGGCCCAGAGGTCACGGTGTTCGCCTCACATTTAACAGGTCTTGGGTTCGAATCCGGACAGCGATTCTTCTCTAAACGTTTCTCCTTTAACCTCCTTTCCTGCCATCTAACCGTGTTCTTTCGTCTGCTTTCGTCTCCACTTTTTGACACCTTCCCTCTTTCCCTTTGCCCCTCCTGTGGGCTGGATCCTGACTCTTTCTGTAGCCTTTCTAATGTTACTCCTTCTCACTGCTGTCTTTCATCCCCAGCCCTAATCTTATGGTAGGAAATATCTAATACCTCGCCGTCTCGGATAAGGGCGAAAATCTCAGAGGTTTCGTGTGCAAGTTACGCACGATAGACTTAAAATCGATAAGAGTAGGCTTCGGCCGCGACCCGGGCAAAATTCAAAATTTTCTACCAACTCAAAATTGTTTAACGTGTCCCGCACGCTAACATGGCCTTATGCAGTTGCAAGCGTTGTAAACACTTCAATTTTTGTTTTATGAAAGGACTTGCGCACCTTTACAAAGTGGATAAAAAGTAGGGCAGGAATCGTGCTTCACGCCGTGGTTATTGACTGCATTGATTTTCCAAACCCCAGAGGCCTAAGTTCTACTCTCTTGGGGTGACAAATAAATAACCTTTTCATAACGTGAGACCTCCCCTGGCTATTGCTTTGACCTATCAAACTCAGTTACATTTATCATGCAATCCATTTGGCAACGTGGGAGCTGGGGGCTCTCGTGGCCTAGAGGTTAAGATGTTGGCCTCTCATTCAAAGGTCCCGGGTTCGAATCCGGGTAGCGACCGAAAAATTTTCTTCTCTAAAATTGTCTCCTTTCACCTCCTTTCCTGCTCTCTAGCAATATTCTGTCGTCTGCTTTCGTCTCCTCTTTCTGCCCCCACCCCCTCACCTCCTTTGTCCCCTCTTCTGGGCTCCTGACTCTTTCTGCAGCCTTTCTACTGCTACTCCTTGACTCCTTCTTACAGCTGTCTTTCTGCCACACCCCTGATCTTCTGGTAGGAAAGATCTACACCTAGCCTTCTCGGACAAGGGCGAAAAATCTCCGAGGGCCCGTGTGCAAGTTGCGCAAGTTAAAGATCCCTTGGTGGTCTAAAATCGATAAGAGTAGGCTTCGGCCGCCACCCGGGCAAAATTCAAAATTTCCTACCAACTAAAAGTATTAGGTGTGTCCCGCGCGCTTAAATGACCTTATGCAGTTGCGAGCGCCGTAAAACACTTATCAAAAAAAAAAAAGTGGGAGCTGCTACCAGCAGAAACTGGCTATGATTCCGTCAACGTAAGTGTTGCCACAATCTAAAGTAGTATCAGAGACACGTACAACGTCTCTGGTAGTATTCAACGCTGACTGAAAAAACAACTCTCTAAGAAAGACGGCAGGCTATAGATCTACACATCAGTAAACTTAAAATTGTATGTTGAATTGGCTGTCCCAGGTGAAAAGTAGGACGGTCGTATCTGCGGGTAAAAATACACACCGCAAGTTCCCATCGGGAACGAATTTACCCGTTCCCCCACCCCACCTCACCGCTTTCTGTGACAGTTTGAAGTCAGGCAGTGCAACGTTCTAATGAGATCACAGATTTGACGCGTCGGTCCTGTGTTCACCCCGGGTGCTTGCAGGCCTTCGGAAAGCATGCACTGTGCGCGCGCGCGATGGCGTTCCTTTCCCTCAACGGGGCGTTTTGCTTGACTGAAGGCCTCATGAAAAAAGCCAAAAAGAAAAAAGAAAACAAACCTCGACCTAACTCGGAAGTCTAAAGTATGACTCTTTGTAGTATTTGTGGTCTGGGCATGGACTTCGATGTTCGCGTTTGTTGAACGTAAAGCAAGTCACTTCTGTACACAGGCCTGGACTGCAGTGAGATAGACTGGAGGGGGGAAGTATTTATTCTTCTACTGCTAAGTGTAGGAGTGTGAAATGCTGTTGTGAAGTCTGTGTGGTTACAATCTTTGAATAAGCCTACTGTGTTTTCTTATTCAAATTTTAAAGTTCTTGACGAGGAAGGAATATTTCAATTAGATCTAGGTAAGCTTAATTTCTTTATCTTCATTTATTTGTATTATGCCTAAAAGTGCGAGAAGAAAGGAAAAGAAAGGACAGTAGTGTTCTTTTGTGGTAGATTTTGTTCTTTGCAAGGGGTCTGCTTTTAGTTTTCTATTTACAGCTGTTTCGTCTTTCTAGCCTGTTGTACGCGCTTGTAAAAATGTGTGTTGGTCATTATACTTTGCTACCTAGCCTGTGACTTCAGGGGGGCATAGCCGTGTTGATATGAAGTGATCAGTTAATCAAGTGTAGTAATTTAGAAACAAATATAAATGACAGTGTTGTGAAAATGAAGAGTAATTAGTAAGGATGGGGTTATTGTTGTGTTTAGGTTTAAGTTCTAAACCGCTTTGTTTTGTCTGTTAAGCCCAATATGTACGCACTTCCTTACCCAAACAAAGCCGTTAGATTAATACCAGATGTTTTTGTTGTGCTCCTGGCTAAAGAAAAAAACAACTTGGCACACATTATTATACTGCTTCCTACACTCATGTTTGTGCAAGTAAGACAGAAAGCGAAAGGTGGATGAAAAGGAGCTCTAAAGAAAAAGTAAAGGATTATGAGACGGGGCCCTCTTTCTCATCTAAGCATACTTCCAACCATCAGCATAATACGCACGTTTATACACACACACGCAAACACACACACGCATGCACGCACATACAAACAGACAAACCCACACACAAACACAAACACACAAACACACAAACACACAAACACACAAACACACACGCACACAAACACGTGCAAGCATACGTGAATACTTACGCATACGATTATATAAACGTTTAAAAAAATGTTTTGTTCACTCTAACGAACCCGAATACAGTTACGCGTACACACACACACACACACACACACACACACACACACACACACACACACACACACTAACTTTACTTTTTACTTTTTCATCCTCTGTTGCCGTTAAGCGTCGAGGGGAGATGCAGTTTTCTATGGTAGGCCAGCTCCGCAGCTCTTTCAGTTGTGATGTTATGTTTTCTTAGAGTTTCCTTGACACCCTCGATCCACCTTTTGCGTGGCCTTCCTCTTCCTTTATAGCCTGAGTGCTTGGTGTTGTAGGCTCTCAAAGCTGGCTGGTCA